CTTTTCTACATCCTTGTCTGGTGCATGTTTCCTGTGGCTTACCCTCTTCACACAGATTGCCCTGGTCATTATTGAGCAAAGACAATCATAGCAGTCATGGCCGCTACGAGCGTGTGAGAGAACTAGTACGCGCCTTTACTCATACGAGATGTGGCGCGGTTGTTTTCGTCGCTGTTATGTCGTGCTCATCGTCGGGGTAAAGGGATTTAGGGCACACCTCCTCGTACGGTGCACAGACGATTTCACCAGAGTTGAACACTGTACTGTACTCCGAGAGTACAAGGGTACTTCCGGGTGGGCAGTCCACGAAATCATTTGCACCATCCACGCGCACTCGGTAGCTCGAGGTGTCCTTGTCACATTGCACATCCGCACAAATAGAGAGCATATTTTTGCCATCGCTTGTCTGGAGGTGAGCGTTCTCGAATGCTGAAAAGCATCGCGCAGACTCTGAAAACACAGAACCAGGAAGTATTCTTTGATTCCCAGTTATACAATTAGTATCTAGATATAGTCGTATAGTCGGGCAATAATCCATAGCGATTTCAAGACCACCCATCGTCGTATCGGGGAAGTACTGGAATATTATTGGCAAGCTGAGTCCAGAGTCTATTAAACAGTTTCCGATGCCCATCCGATCTGATGAGCACCTGAGGTCACTTTCTGATGTGATATCACCTTCACAGAACATCTCCGGCATCTGCGACACACCGTCAATTACGCAGTTCTTATCAAACAGCGCGCAACCGGCATTCTTACCCCATGCCATGCTTTCAGCGTTACTGTAGTTGCCTTTGTAGAAGCCCGTGTCCTCCATCGCTGCAATGGTGATGGCGGTGTAGAAACCTGCAGATTCAGCAGGAGCCATTAACTCATCCTTTGCGTTGCGCATCTTCCAGTGTGAACCCATAGTTACTGCACCACCCACGTCCTCCAACTCCACGTACTGCATGGTACTGCACCCGTAATGAGCCCTCGCGGCTTCCACCACTTTTGGCGAGGACATAACAACGCTTGCTGGCTTATTGCGAACAGACACAGTATCAACCATGTTTCTCTTTTGAAATGTATCAAGCAAGAATCCCAACGCGTGCAGTATCTCGTGCGCAAGAATACGTGTAGAATAAAAAACGTTCAAAATGTGTCCAGGCCCAATATTGGCAACACCCACAATGGGGCGGCCGCTGCGGTCATACTGGCACATGGTTGCCCACGCGATAGTACCAGGTTCAGTTGGTCCCGCCGCAACGTACAGCACAAAGTCGGTATCCGGCACACCAGTACGGTGATGGGACTTGGGAATTGTAAACTGAGAACAGATTATTCCCGATAGGCGTTTAACACGGATGTTATGCCGGCGCGGTTGCACCAGCAGGCGGTCCCTGTGCATCCGCACTGCGTCGGGGATTATCTTTTGACGCAGGAGCCGCTTCTTTTTTTTGGTGAATATGTTATCAGAATCACAGTTCATCATGGAGCCTTTGAAGTCAGGCTTCATCTCCCCAGGCTGTGTGCAGTAGCGGGAGCTGTTCTTGAGGTCCGGGGTAAACACCGAGATGCGGATCGGCTCCCATGGGTCAGTGGCGGTGATGCTGCCATGCTGCTCCGCACCCTGTCCCTGCGGCGTCCCGTGGTCCCTCACCTTGGGAACGGCACTGGTGCCGGTCGCCAGCTGCAGGCGCTGTATCTCGTCGAAGATACAACGGTGCCCCGCAGCGATCAGCGGGGTCCCGACAAGCAGCA